CCAACCAGGTACATCAGCACACTAACAGCAACTTGTAGGATGTTGAATACAGCAAACTGACAAAAGTCTTTGCCAAACCCAAGGTTCGTTATTTATTCTTTTACTAAAATGCTTTGACCTGACCCTAGACCTAATGTCTTGGGGTCCCCTTGGACTACGCCTACCCTGCTTCCTATCTGTAACATCATTTGTGTTTTAGCCTTTCAACCTGGTGATCCATATCCCATTTTCCAACCTTGGCTTCTTTGCAGGCCATTGCTACCCCTCCCTGTACAGAGACTTCCTGGCTGTGCTCGTCTTCTGTTCTCCTAAATCAAGAGGTCTTCATCCAGTGCTGTAGAACCCACCCACGAGAAGTCTTAACCCTGGACCTTTTCAGACTGGCCTGGGAGGAAGGAAACAGAACAGCACCCAAAAATGTACAGGGAGCGTTTTTAGTAAAATGGATAGACACTTTTATAATGGATATATTTATTTGTAATTAAAATTATGTTAAATGTTACATCATGTAATTCTTGGAGGCAAACACTCAAAAATCCACCATCCGTTGCTATGCATTTTTGAGAATGACATATAAAAGACAGACACATACCTATGTTTCTTTCCATATTACTTCTTTACCTCTTTCAGGTAAATGAGTATCCAGTTGACCTCTGGCTCAGATACGTCACATAATCAGCTTTATCATGAGATATATTTGTCAAGTATCATAGTTATATGTGTTTACAGAATGTCAAAGATGGCTCAATTTAGAATTCATGCCTCTAGCGTCCCTGTACTGCTAATATTTTCTTAGAATATGCTTATGTTCTTGGAACACTGGTTCCAATTCTTCAATTCTGAACTTCTCTTTAGAAAAAAATCTAGATTACAGCAAATGCAAACATGTCAGTGCTCGTCTGAGACTTGCTGGCAGATGACTGCTGTCTAAGTAGAGCAACTTGAAAAGTTGGCTATTTATAGTACACTGTAGGCATTGAAGATATCCTTCTGCTTGTAGCTCCAAGACCCACCAAGTTTCTATGTTCCTAAACTCATTTCTTACTTAATTGGTATGGCCCTGGATTCTCTTTCTTGGGAATTGTTACCTGTGCTCCCTCCCCTGAATCACTATAGATAGAAATCCTAATGAATGACTAATAAACATTAGGCATTGTGAGAGTTCTGGTTCCCCCTTCCTTTGTACATCTACACTGAGTCTTAGAATCAGGAAGACTTGGGTTCAAATACCATCTGTCACTTAGTAGCCGTGTGACCGTGGACAAGTCACTTAACTTCTCTGAGACTCAGTTACCTCATCTAAAAGTAGAATTAATAATATCTGCACTACTTACTTGATGGGGTTATGGTGATGCTCAAATGAGATTTATGTAAAGCATGCTGCAGATTTTTTAAAAGTATGCTATAAATGTCCATTATTAGTATCTTTCCTCACAATTGTAGCATAAAACCCTGACAAAACTGTGCTGAGGCATCATCCCATTTTACTTAATCTGACTATGACTATTTATAACCTTAATTAGCTGTCTCAGCACACAAAAGTGTGAATGATCACGTTTCTCTCAATTTTTTGTAAATGTCTCATAAACATACAAATTGCGTATACCACATAGAATCATAGCTTCAGAGATGGAAGGGACCATAGAAATCATATTATCCAACCCCCTTATTTAACAGATGACAAAAAAAAATGAGGACTAGAGACAAGTGACTTGCTCGAGGTCACACAGCTAATAAATGGCAAAGCCAGTGAGGACCTGGGTTTTCTGATTCCAAATCAGAGCTCAGAACATTCCATAGGATTATTTTGGGGAAATGTGGCACTTCAGTGGCATAGGTCTCCATCACAGAAGGTAGGGGAAAAGCCACGTGTTCATTAAACGTAGTCAGATCTTCTTGTGGTACCAATAAAAGCATTTTGATGCTTTAATTCAGTTTCAGCGCTGGAGCTTGAATGGGTGAATATAGAATTCTGCGATGCTCCTGAAAGTGATGTGTGACCATTTGAGCTCTGGCTTTTGAACATCTTAGTGATTCATGAGAAGCCCAGTTGAAGTGAGTTGGTACTTTCAGAGGACAGCTGCAGTCTGCCTCTAATGATACCTGCTAGGGGGAAGGAGAGGGAAATCAGAAATGAAGTTCAAATTTTGATTTCTAAAAGAATGAAAATGTCCAAAGATGTTGTTGATCTGAAAGGGTAAAAAAAAAAATATGGAGCTGGAGAAATTCTTCAGTGTATTTTCCTCCCTACATTTACTTCTCTTTTATCTTGAGACAATAAGGAGACTGGCATGGCCATTTACGGTCCACAGAGTGTTTCCACCTACACTTGCTTTTAATCTTCCCAACAGCTCTAGAAGGCCCAGGATGGCCTCAAGATCATACCATACAAGGATCAGTTCCCTCTCTCCCTGCTCCCTCTCTAGACCCAGTTCACTCAGTCCGCATCCAGCCACTGAGTGACAATAGCTGCTGGCTGAGGTACCCTTTTAAACAGTTACCAGTGAGTCCGCTTCTCCCCAATTTTCCTGTCAATGTCCCCCTTCCCTTCCTGTTATGATAGGATACTTACCTTTTCTGTTCCATCTATAGTCATTTGAGAGGGAACCTAGAATCACCTTTCCACTCAGACTCTTAGGCCCCTCAAAGCCTCCTTACTCTACAGAATTGATATGGTTGCTTATACCCCTCAGTGAACAAAGAGTCATCAACCACAATCCTTGCATTAAGATGGAAGACCACCAAGCTATAACATCTGCCCTTCCACTATATCCCTTTGGTAAGACCATCTACTCCAGGGGTGGGGAACCTATGGCCTCGAGGCCACATGTGGCTCTCTAGGGCCCCTTGGCCCTTTGACTGAATCCAAACAACACAGAACAAATCTCCTTAGTAAAAGGATTTGTTCTGTAACACTTGGAGTCAGTCAAAAGGCAGCACCCCAGGACCTAGAAGGCCACATGTGGCTTCCAGGGCACAGGCTCCCCACTCCTGATTTACCCTATTGCTATGCCCTTCAGACTCCTGGGCACTGCCACCTGACCTGCTGACACACTATAAACCCCCCTTGTCCTTGCCATCCACTCCATCCTTAGGATTTCTGGGTGTTTCCATTTGGCCTGCAGCTGAACTCTCATGTATGAATTCTCTCCCCCAGTTAGAGTATGAGCTCCTTAAGAGAAAGAAATGACAAACCACTCCAGTATCTTTGCCAAGAAAACCCCAAATAGGGTCATGAAGAATTGGACATGACTGAAAAATGACTGAACAATCATCTTGTTTTTTCTATTTGGATCCTCGGTGCTTAGCACACAGTAGGCATGTAGTAAGTACTTTTTTACTCACTCATCTTCATTCATGTATTAATTCGTGTTTAGACAGAACATGATAGCTATCTTTAAGTATTTGAAGGGCTGTCTTGTGGAAGAGGGATCAGATTTGTTGGGCGTGGCCCTAAAGATAGAACCAGTGCAATGATTATAAGTAGCAAGGAGGCTGATTTCTGCTTGAGGTAAGGAAAAACTACCTAACAGTTAGAGTCGTAGAGTTCACTAGAGTGGGGCAACCAGAGCTTTGCTGTAGGATACCAAAATTTACGGGGCCTTCTGACGTTCCTCACATAGTACATCTCCTGTTTCTGTCTTTTGGTTGGCTGCCCTTGATGGCTGGAATGAACTCCCCTTTTCCCCTTTACTTCACAAAATCTCTTACTTCCTTCAACACTCGGCTCACATTCTACCTTCCATGTGAAGCCCTTCCTGAACCCCCTCCCTCCCTTGACTTTGTATTTATTGTATTGTATTTATATTTATTCTGAATGTATATATATATATATACATACATACATATTGTATGCCACAAAAGAAGGTAAGAAATATTTTATTTTATATTTATTCTGAATTATATATATACACACATACATACATATTGTATCCCACAACAGAAGGTAAGAAAGGTTTAATTTTTGTCTTTGTAGCTCCCGAGTCTATCGCCAAGTGCTTGGCACATAGGAGAGCTTAATTAATAAATGCTTGTTTGTTTGACCTGACAGTGCTCATACTTCTTTAGCAGAGGAGAAACAACTGGAGGAATAGTTAAAAAGGGAATGACCAGGTGCATACTCCTTCCCTTTCCAGGTCTGTCCTTGTCCTATCACCCTCAACCAGGGAAAAATCTTCCCCAGCAGCAGTTTCTATCCATAGGCTCTGATGTCCTCGTGTCTCTTCCCACCCTCCACGGAATTTGTCTTAAAAGGCTGATTGGAGGCCATGTTTCCTGCTGCCTTCCTCAGGTATATTTTGTGAAGTTTGCCAAGGGTGCCACAATTGTTAGTTGTTGCTCTGATTAAGTCTATCCAAAAAGTAGTATGGTCTGCCCCAGGAGGGAGTGCACAATACTCCACCAAGGATGTCATAGGATTTTTTTCCCCAGATATGGGTTTATAGGGTCATAGATTTCAGAGCTGAAAGGAACCTCAAAGGTCATGCAGTATAGCCCCTTCATTTTACAGAGAAGCAAACACCCCCTGAGAATTTAAGTGAATTGTCCAAGGTCACATAGGTATTAAGGAAGGATTTGAATCCATGTCCTCTGAGTTCAAAGCTGGTGCCCTGTCCATTGTATCACACTAATTCTGCAGCTCTGATGGCCCCTGAATTCTCATCTTACTTTTACATTCTATGAGGCGAATGAGGAGTCAATAATACCAGCCCTATTTTCTAGATATGGAATCTCAAGCTAAAACAAGTTAAATGACTAGACCAAGGTCACACAGCTAGTAAGTAATGAAACCGAGGTAAGAACTCACATCTTCTGACCCTTCTTCCAGTATGCTTCTAATAGACTGTGCTTCACACTAAGATGGCAACTTATTTTATTCTTACAGATCTACAGCGAAGGAGAATATACCACCTTCATTAATCTACACATTATATGTTTTCCCTATGATATCAAGAAGTCAAGTATCATAGTTGATGTTTTATTTAAAACTCATAATGAAGGATCTCTCCTTCATACAGGCATCCCATACATAACGTGGTCCTGACCAAAGTGATTCTGTAATAACATTGTTAAAATATTATAACCATACTCCATTGTAAAGTCACAAGTTCCTGCTATAATGGTTCAGTTGACCATTCACCTGTAACAACTGTTCTTAGGGAACTAATTAATTGCCCTCCTCACCTCATCTCACCCAACGTTGCCTTCTTAGTGGCATTAGATGGGCTATGCCAATATTTGGCCATAAAAACGAAGAGAAGAAAGGAATGGAGAAAGGAAGAGAGACACAGCAGAGCAGGAGCATAGGATGCTATGTACATTTAAAAGTTTAACCCTAATGTGGCTCTTGCCTTACAATGACTGATCTAAGGAGCAACCCCCTGACACCAACCCTCCCCAAAGATGTGAGCACATTCACGAGAATTCATGCAGCACAAACAAGTCACGCCAGTTCACTGTAGTTTATTTCTTGATGTATCCACAGATACAAGATCTCACTTAGATGAGTAACTCCTCCCACTGATGCAGATAGCAATCCATTCACGGCAGCTCATCTTGTGCAGTTCTTGTCTATGTCTTTACAAAGATTCTCCATAGAATATTTATTCAATGTATCAGAGGCCTTCCTCTGATACAAGTGCAATAACACTTGGGCTATCCATCTGGTATTTTTCATTCCTGATACACAACAACATCAATTATAGTCACAGAAGTTCATGTAGCACTTAAGGTTTGCAAAGTGTTTGCAAAGTATACATTATTTCATTTTATATTCATAGCCACCATGTGAAATAGGTACCTCAGGTTTTATCATTCCCATTTTACAGATGACACTTAATGAGTTTTGGATTGTCCATGGTCACATAGTTATATGTATTAGAGGTGGGATTCACTTTCTTTTCTGGTCATCCAAGCCTCACTGTTGTCTTTTATGTCAGTTCTTGAATCCTTCCACACCTCTTTGGGTCTCCAGAAATACTGGCTCTTTTTAAATCATCGTATCTTGGGGTTTGCAGCTATAGAGAACCACCAGGAGAGTATGTTAAAGATGGGCTTTGGCGGCAGAGAGCACCTTGGGATTGTAGAGAGCATTGCACAGTTTCCCAAATGTGCTCCAGCCTCTTCTCCTTTGAGTTCCTTCCAGATTCAGCTCAGCCTCTGTCTCCATTGTCTGTCCAAGATGTGAACATGTCAAAGTCTGGATCGTGTGCAGTCTTGGTCCACGTGATTTTTTCCATACAGATTACGAGGCCAACCTTTATGGCAGATCTTACTGAGAGGTTCAGAGATGACTGTGGGTTCTTGAAGACTCTCAAGGGAACGTAAGCTCTGGCAGGTTTTACTAAGTTGGAAAGGAGCAGGACTTAATGGATGTTTGTGGGTGTTAATCAGGAGGAGGAGGAGGAGGAGGATATTGCTATCTAAATGCTAGCAAAGCTGGGTTTGTTCTGAGAAAGCCAAAGTCCCCAGGTAGAGCCAGAGCCAGAGACAGCAAGAGGAATCAGCTAGAAAAAATATGATTAAACACACTCCCCACATTTTAAGTGTTTTGTTTTTCACATCAGACTGAGGCAAGAGGGACAGATGGAAAGATTCCTCTGTGTTCCTGGTGGTTCTTGGCATAAATTCATTTTTTCTCTTTTCTGCAAGAATGAAGATAAAATAATACTTGTTGAATGAATACTTGTTGAAAAAATAAAAAATCTAGCTGAATCTGATACAAGAATGGGCTAGCGACTACCTAAACATCTCAGTCATGGCAGCACCTTCTCTCATAGCTGAGTGGCTATCACATTTTCTGAGCAGCACAGCTTGACAGTCATGCAGCCAACCAGGGGGAAAATGATATTCTTAATCCAGTGGGTACAAGGGTTCATGATGTGAAAGTAGTATTACCTACTTCTCATGATTGGACTCTTCATAAAAAAAAAATTTATAGAAAGTTCTAGCAATTAATGCTCAAAGGTAGGTAGGTTTTAATAGGGTTTATAACCTCTAATTATTCATAATAATATATTCATGTCCCACACTGAAGTCATACTCTGATGCCTCATTATGGCCCCAAATTGATCTCTATTAGTGAAGGCCAGTCCAGCATGTTACAGTCTCTGAGAGATCCTACCTACCAAGCTAAAGAAACTTTAAATATGGGCTCACTGGGAAGCTGTGTGTCTGTCACCCAAGGACTGTCTTACACAGGCTCATCACCAGAAGGATGGTCATCAGGTGATGAATTTTGGGAGGATGCCACTGCAACTCATGATGAATGTCTACTGAGAGGTGGAGGTGTTGCTAGCTCTGGTGGAGGGAGGGCCCTTGCCAATAAAACCATCAATCTTTTAAAACAATATGCTATTTATCCTTTTAAGGATGGAGGGTATGGAACTGTGATTTCATTGGTATAGTATACTCCCAGGTGAGACAACTCCCTTTACCAATACAAGTCAGCATCCTCTCCATGATTCACAGTCTTAGAAAGTTGCTTAGAGCACTTAGACATTAACTAACTTGCCCAGAGCCACATAGCTAATATGTCAGAGGGGAAAATGGAATCCAGGTCATTCAGACAAAGTTCTTTAATCAATATACCCTGTTGCATCTCCATCTTTTTAAGAAAAATTTTACAGGTCACTATGGACTATCTAGGGGTGGAGAACTGCAGCCTCAAGCCACATGCGGCCTTCTAGGTCCTTGGGTGTGCCCTTTTGATGGAGTCCAAGTTTTACAGAACAAATCCTTTTATTCAGGGGCTTAGTTCTGTGAAGTTTGTTTTCAGTCAAAGGGCCAAACTTGAGGACCTAGAGGGCCACATGTGGCCTTGAGGCCACAGGTCCCCCACCCTTGGACTAACTCTGGGTCATTTCCTTACTCATATTCTCAACATTTAATTTCAGAGATAATCCTCAACAATTAAAGAAATGTTCGCTGTAATGTAGGTACTCAGGAGTCACTCTTTGATAATGTGGAACTCAGTGCAATCTGTATTAAGTGCTAAGGGAGGAATTTGTTTGTAGGTAGGGTTCCAGTGAAGGACAAGGGGCCTGTTTTTTACAGGTCAGATCTAGCTTTTGTGGCTTATAGTCATCAGGCTGTCAGCTGGTGCAAAGACGTGAGCTGAAGCTCTCTCCTACTCCTGCAGTCTCACTAAACCTGCTTTTTGTCCTAACTATAGTCTCGGGTCCGCTGACCCATACTGTTTTCCTACTCCTTCTCCCCTTCTCTATATCCAGCCATGACCCCACAGTTGGCCGCTTTACGGCTTGATTAACTGCTGCCTTGGAATCCCTCCCCAACCCTGCACAAACACATATGCTCTGCCATTTGCCAAAATCAATGATCATCCCTGGTTAAGACCCACTGTCCTCTTTGATCCTATTCCATGGCAGCTATGTGTTTCTAGAAAAAAAAGTCATGAAATCAAGTTGATTTTTCCCACTACCAATTTATGTAACTTTAGCTTGGTCTTCACTGCTGCTCAATAAACCTCTTCTACCATTATTATTGACTCCCTAATCTCCTCCTCCACAGCGACTGTTCCTTTCCTTCCTCCTTTCATCTCAAACCATATCTCTACCATTTACACTTAGAACATATGACATACTTCATTTGACACACTTCACTGAGATAATAGAGGTCACTACTGATTACAAAATCCAATGGCCTTTCCTCAGCCTTCATCTTCCTTGTAAACGTTCCATGTTAACTACCCTCTCCTACTGGATTATCTTTTCTGGGTATTCTCCTACCTGACTTTACCTTCGTTCTGTCCTTTGTTGGTCAGTTCTTTGTCTTCTTCCCACTCCTTATTGTATGTCCCCCAGGGATCTGTCCTTAATTCTCATCTCTTCTCTCTCTACTCACTCTCACTTGGCAACCTGAGTCTCTAATCCTGGCTTCTCTTCTAAAGTCCACATCCCTATCTCCTTTTACCTACAGGACACTGCCATCTGACTGTCCCAGCATCACCTTAAATTCAAGGTGTCCCAAACTGAGTTTATAATCTTTCTCCTTAACCCTGGTCCTCCTGAATGGACCACTTCTACCTATGGTAGCACTATTCCCCTTGCCTCCTATATTCAAAATCTCACAGTTACATTTCACTCTTTTGTCTCTATTACCTTTCTTATCCAATCAGTTAACAAGATCTTTTTAATTCCAACTCTGTAGCATTCTTCTCCTTTCCTCCATCTTTCTATGCCCACTTTTCTACCCAAGGCCCTTATTCAACTGCTTGGGCTTTTGTAATAGCTTCCTAAAAGATCCTTATCCCTCCTCTCTCTCTGTACACCCTCCCCTGAGCCAACCCCACCTCCAATCCGTGCTTTATACCACTGCCAGAATAATTTTTATTTTGCATGGGTTTAGTCAAGTTCTTCTTAGCTCAACAATCAAATGCAAATTCCTTTCATGGAATTTTAGGCCCTCCTCAATCTGGCAACATAACCTGACCTCATTATTACTGCATTGCACATACTCTGGTCTAGCCAACTGAGCTATTATTTTCTCCCAAACCCAGTACAAGTTCATCCACTTCTATGCATTTACTCACATCGTTCCCTATGCAAGATGAACTTCTCTCTTCTCCTAGTTATCCTTTCAAGCTTAACTCAAAGTTTGCCTTCACTCAGAATTTCCTGGTCTCACTCAAATCTCATACATGCATTTATCATGTAATTTTCTGTATTATAGTGATCTGCCTTTGTCATACCCTACCAAACTGTAAGTTCTTGGAATTTAGAGACTGTGTTAAATAACTTTTACTCTTTTTCACAACTTCGCACAATGCTTTGCACATGGTAAGTGCATGATGAATGAATGGTGGGCTATTGTGGTTGTTTCAGAGTAGGACCTCTAAAGGACTGAGGTAATTAAAGAACTATGAATATTGATTAATTCATATAAATTTGTTTTATTTCCCACTGAAGCAAAGGAAGACCTGAGTCCAAATCCTGCCTCAGATGCTTACTAGCCATGTGAGTCCAGGCAAGTCACCTGCCTGCCTCAGTTTCCTCAACTGTAAAATGGGGATTTAATAGCACCTACTTTCCAGGGTTGTTGCGGGGATCAAATGAGATAATATTTGTAAAATGCTTAGTGCAGTACCTGGCCCACAGTAGGCATTATACTCTCATCATCATCATCATTATTACTGCTCTAAGATAAAATTAGATATACACACAAACCATATATGTATGAAGACATATATAAATTTTCCAGAATAGATGAGTAGAAGCATATGATTATATGTGGCTTAATAGATAATAGACATAGTGGTTGAATTATTGAGCAGAGGGAAGGCTGAGATCTAGTAGAAAGAATGAGTTGGTAGATGAGTAAGTGGTCTGCAAACCTGGTACAAGATGTTAGCAATCATTTTGGCAATTCACAATACCTAGAATGTAAAAAAATCCAAAAAAGTGAAACCTAACCGATCTGGATTATTCTTGGTACTAATAATTTGGGGCCACCATGGAAGTACTAAAATACCTATTTTAAGAAAATAGTCAATAGCATTGGTGACCAAAACACAATAAAACAATAAAGTGATATCCCATATTTAGTGATATAACACTAACAACAATAAACATTAACTGCTGGCATAAAAGTGGGGCCAAGTGCAGTACAAGGTTCAAGATGTGAACCCTTTGGTCTGGGACCTTTTAATTGAAAACACAATACCAGAGAGATGTAGTATAAAAAAAAAAGCAAAAATAATCATGTCAGTCTATTGAGGAAAGCATTTTTGAATAATTCAACAAAAATACGTCTTGTCCCTAAATGAAAGCTCAAAAATTTGGGGTGGTTCCTAAACTTGGCAGGCAAAAATCCCATTAATAACTTGTATTTCTGTAGTACTTATATAGTTCATTAAGTACTTTCCTTACAAGTTTATGAGAAAGGTAGGACAAATCTTTTCATTCCCATTTTAAAGATGAGGAAACTGAGAGCCAGAGCAGTTCTACCTCACTGCTTTCTCAATTCTAAGTGATTTTCTTGTGATTTTCTAGAGATACTTCTTTTCCATTCAGGCCCAGATTTGTCTAGACTCATTGATTCTACAAATATTTACTGAATGCCAACTATATCAAAAGGGGCTCTGTGAAATACAAAGAAGATCTAGCCCTCACTCTTCTTCCAATTTTTCCTTTCAAAGGCATGTGAAACATTTCCACTGCGATGACGAGAAGAAATGCATAAATCCAAAGGCACAATTTAAGTCCAATATTCAGTGTTTAGCCCTTAAATGAAAAGATACAGTCACTCAGTAACTGTCAAAATATTAGTCTAAATAGAAACAGAACTATCTGCTCAAGCTTGAAATGTCAGGGTGATTTATTTTGTGGGGTAAGATCAAACAAAAATGGAACATGATATAGCAGGTACAAGGAGCTCTCCTGGAGAGAAAGGAGAAGCAAGAATTTAAGCAGTGGGGCTCAGTCAGAGATTATTGTGCCTCTGGGGTTCTTAGCCTTTACATCTTCTAGTATGGAAAATTAAATGATATCAACAATAACAAATGTTGAACTGCATTCTGTAAATAGTAACATTCATATGGCATGGAGCAGCAGACAAAGTTTACTTACTACAACAACCCTGTTTTTGTCTGGAGGTTTACCTATAATAAAATAGATAACCCTGTTAT